GGAGTGAGGTGTTGTTTGATAGTAGGGTTGGTAGACTGTGAGCGGTTCGGATTAACCGTCACGGTTTTACTCTTGTGATTTGTTGCATGGTAAGAACCGTCGACCAAGAATCGAAGTTTTCTTTGGCAGCCCTACACATGGGGCTAATATCAATTGCACAGTAGTATGGTGGTCGGATGTGTTGGGTGCAAATCAAATCTTATCCATCCTCAACACACAGATGAAGTCAACTGTCACTTACTCACTTACTTACTCACTCACTCACTGGCTCGCTCGCACGCTCGCACACTTGCTCGATCGCACGTTTCATTGAGTGTGTTCAACGATGGGTTTGGTGTGAACGAGGCTAGTTGACATTTCTTGTCTACTGATAAGTTGTGGTTGTGAGTAGTGTATGAAGTGCACTTATTATTGTTGAGATTGGTGTTAGTATGTGGTGTATTATGGTTTCCCAGTGGTTGTGTGCAGGCGTGTATGCATGTAGTAGTGTTGAATGTAGTGGTGAGGAGCTATTAGTGTTGTGTTTGCTGTTGTCGAGTTGTGGTTGTGTTGACAGAGATGATTAATTTGCAAATGGATGAATGGGAGTGAGGTGTTGTTTGATAGTAGGGTTGGTAGACTGTGAGCGGTTCGGATTAACCGTCACGGTTTTACTCTTGTGATTTGTTGCATGGTAAGAACCGTCGACCAAGAATCGAAGTTTTCTTTGGCAGCCCTACACATGGGGCTAATATCAATTGCACAGTAGTATGGTGGTCGGATGTGTTGGGTGCAAATCAAATCTTATCCATCCTCAACACACAGATGAAGTCAACTGTCACTTACTCACTTACTTACTCACTCACTCACTGGCTCGCTCGCACGCTCGCACACTTGCTCGATCGCACGTTTCATTGAGTGTGTTCAACGATGGGTTTGGTGTGAACGAGGCTAGTTGACATTTCTTGTCTACTGATAAGTTGTGGTTGTGAGTAGTGTATGAAGTGCACTTATTATTGTTGAGATTGGTGTTAGTATGTGGTGTATTATGGTTTCCCAGTGGTTGTGTGCAGGCGTGTATGCATGTAGTAGTGTTGAATGTAGTGGTGAGGAGCTATTAGTGTTGTGTTTGCTGTTGTCGAGTTGTGGTTGTGTTGACAGAGATGATTAATTTGCAAATGGATGAATGGGAGTGAGGTGTTGTTTGATAGTAGGGTTGGTAGACTGTGAGCGGTTCGGATTAACCGTCACGGTTTTACTCTTGTGATTTGTTGCATGGTAAGAACCGTCGACCAAGAATCGAAGTTTTCTTTGGCAGCCCTACACATGGGGCTAATATCAATTGCACAGTAGTATGGTGGTCGGATGTGTTGGGTGCAAATCAAATCTTATCCATCCTCAACACACAGATGAAGTCAACTGTCACTTACTCACTTACTTACTCACTCACTCACTGGCTCGCTCGCACGCTCGCACACTTGCTCGATCGCACGTTTCATTGAGTGTGTTCAACGATGGGTTTGGTGTGAACGAGGCTAGTTGACATTTCTTGTCTACTGATAAGTTGTGGTTGTGAGTAGTGTATGAAGTGCACTTATTATTGTTGAGATTGGTGTTAGTATGTGGTGTATTATGGTTTCCCAGTGGTTGTGTGCAGGCGTGTATGCATGTAGTAGTGTTGAATGTAGTGGTGAGGAGCTATTAGTGTTGTGTTTGCTGTTGTCGAGTTGTGGTTGTGTTGACAGAGATGATTAATTTGCAAATGGATGAATGGGAGTGAGGTGTTGTTTGATAGTAGGGTTGGTAGACTGTGAGCGGTTCGGATTAACCGTCACGGTTTTACTCTTGTGATTTGTTGCATGGTAAGAACCGTCGACCAAGAATCGAAGTTTTCTTTGGCAGCCCTACACATGGGGCTAATATCAATTGCACAGTAGTATGGTGGTCGGATGTGTTGGGTGCAAATCAAATCTTATCCATCCTCAACACACAGATGAAGTCAACTGTCACTTACTCACTTACTTACTCACTCACTCACTGGCTCGCTCGCACGCTCGCACACTTGCTCGATCGCACGTTTCATTGAGTGTGTTCAACGATGGGTTTGGTGTGAACGAGGCTAGTTGACATTTCTTGTCTACTGATAAGTTGTGGTTGTGAGTAGTGTATGAAGTGCACTTATTATTGTTGAGATTGGTGTTAGTATGTGGTGTATTATGGTTTCCCAGTGGTTGTGTGCAGGCGTGTATGCATGTAGTAGTGTTGAATGTAGTGGTGAGGAGCTATTAGTGTTGTGTTTGCTGTTGTCGAGTTGTGGTTGTGTTGACAGAGATGATTAATTTGCAAATGGATGAATGGGAGTGAGGTGTTGTTTGATAGTAGGGTTGGTAGACTGTGAGCGGTTCGGATTAACCGTCACGGTTTTACTCTTGTGATTTGTTGCATGGTAAGAACCGTCGACCAAGAATCGAAGTTTTCTTTGGCAGCCCTACACATGGGGCTAATATCAATTGCACAGTAGTATGGTGGTCGGATGTGTTGGGTGCAAATCAAATCTTATCCATCCTCAACACACAGATGAAGTCAACTGTCACTTACTCACTTACTTACTCACTCACTCACTGGCTCGCTCGCACGCTCGCACACTTGCTCGATCGCACGTTTCATTGAGTGTGTTCAACGATGGGTTTGGTGTGAACGAGGCTAGTTGACATTTCTTGTCTACTGATAAGTTGTGGTTGTGAGTAGTGTATGAAGTGCACTTATTATTGTTGAGATTGGTGTTAGTATGTGGTGTATTATGGTTTCCCAGTGGTTGTGTGCAGGCGTGTATGCATGTAGTAGTGTTGAATGTAGTGGTGAGGAGCTATTAGTGTTGTGTTTGCTGTTGTCGAGTTGTGGTTGTGTTGACAGAGATGATTAATTTGCAAATGGATGAATGGGAGTGAGGTGTTGTTTGATAGTAGGGTTGGTAGACTGTGAGCGGTTCGGATTAACCGTCACGGTTTTACTCTTGTGATTTGTTGCATGGTAAGAACCGTCGACCAAGAATCGAAGTTTTCTTTGGCAGCCCTACACATGGGGCTAATATCAATTGCACAGTAGTATGGTGGTCGGATGTGTTGGGTGCAAATCAAATCTTATCCATCCTCAACACACAGATGAAGTCAACTGTCACTTACTCACTTACTTACTCACTCACTCACTGGCTCGCTCGCACGCTCGCACACTTGCTCGATCGCACGTTTCATTGAGTGTGTTCAACGATGGGTTTGGTGTGAACGAGGCTAGTTGACATTTCTGGTCCGTTGATAAATCGTGTATTTTTATGTTTTCGTATGTTTTTATAATGTTATTTTTTGGTCAAGTTATGCGGTTTCTCATATTCTTCGCTTCTTTGGTGTTTGTTTAATTATCTTAACCAATTTTTCACCCACTTGAACAATCATTTTTCGACGGTGTTTTTTATTTTCTTTCAGCTTTCTGAGTATTTTTCTAGTTTTTTTCGTTGGATGCTGATCTTAGTTACCACAGTGGTCTGTGAAGGCAGTTCATGTGTTAACTCGAGGAAGCCCTAAGAAGCTCAGAATGATCCGAAGATATCCCACCCAATCATCTTTTGAAAGAATATTCTAGAGCCACTACGCGTAGCTTCCCTATTGTACAAATGCTATTAACACCCTGTGTGCAAATTGGAGGACTATATTGAGTTTGTTTTTTCTAGAACTATAAATATCTGACAAATTTGTACCATAATTGACACTGTTTGTAATAGCCTACTTTTCACTTGTCTTCCCATTTGCGACTTGGAGGGCTCTAGAGTTCCATTTCTCAAGTTATATCCGGTATATTAATAATCTAAGCACTAGATTTAACATGGTCTGACTGGTTTTACTTTGCATTGGTTAACACAATCTACATGTAGTGGCTGAATACACACACACATATGAATTGACTCTTATTTCGACAAATAATAAAAAACAGAATATGTAGCTAATGGGTCATTCTCGTCCTCGTAATAATTCTGTATGCTGAGATCTAGAAAATTGCTCGAAAACAGCCAACAAAATGGCTCAGAAAACACCGAGAATCCCCTTATCCTATCAGTATTCATCTGAAGTTTTGCCAGAAACACTTAGAAAGTGAGTCACATGTCGAATTTCTGATTGGATTACCTATATCGCTACTATGTTTAGTAACATTCCAGAATTTTCCGTAGGCCTAAAGCCATCTAAAATGTTATAAATACTTCAGACTTTCTGTACATTAACGAATATTAGAGTAAAGCTTTTTCCCTTAACTCGCACCTTTTCTCTCGTGTTCAAGATGCTGTTTATATTTAGCCTGGGGGTTACTAGAAGAGCTTGGGAAACCGGATCTAGCGTTCAATTAGATTATAATTAGTTGTAATCCCCTATACATTTTTTCACTACCTCAGTAAATCAAAGCTCTTAGCCTCACCATGTGATTTACTATCTACACTGTAGAATGGGATTGCTCACTCAGTGATTCTATCAACTTCAAAGACATTAGTCAGTGAAAAAATATAATTCAGGTATGTGACCTATCATTATCGATCAATTTCCTTACCGGTAAAGTACTGGACAGCACGTCATCAAGCAGTACCGTTCTTGGGGTTACAGACATGCTTCGTAAATAATCAAGTCACGATGCGAACAACTCGTTACTGGCGTAATGATGACTCTTGACTGAAAATTGATGCAGTACAATAATAAATTAACAAATTCTGATACGGTCTAGAAAAGTGAAACAAAACAGCTGTCCAGTGCTCCTTGATTATAAATATTTCTACAGTCAGTGCTGGTTTGTTTCTACATTCCCCTTTGAATAAATTTTATTGCGATTTCAAAAATATATACAGGATCTACATAAATTTTTATTGACTGAAATCAGGATGTAGCTCACAAGTGAAATAAACATAAATAGATTTTTTAAAACAAATGAACACTTATATTGTTCATTTTCGTCGCAATTCACAACTTGCAGGAGACTTTTTTAAATTACTGATGTGATAAGTCTATGAGTTCAGGTTTCGAACCAAGTGTAATTTGTTTGTTCATAGGACATTCTGAAATTTCGTAACAAAAATGTAATTAACGGAACAAAACAGAAAAATATTGAGCGAAAGATTGTTTTATTTGTTGGCTAAAGTTTGAGAATGCTACGTAATTGTCCTATATTTCGAGTTTCTACAAAGCATTAGAGGTAGAACAAATTATTCCATGCTTTCTGGTTTCCGGAGTATTGAACTGAAAGTCATCCTCAAAAAATCATTAGAATTTAACCTTGGTTATATAGAACGTGAGTATCTAAACTATTTTCACGATTTATTGTAGTCCTATTTAACCCTATGTAGTAACCAATCGGCGCACGGTGTTCACCGATAACTACAGTTACGTGACCGACAGAATCCAGTGTGATATAATGACTGATCTGCGTACACAAATTGATGGACACCAATTCAATCAAAAATCTAGACAACAAGGTCCCTAGAACTTTAAACAAGCTTACCAAAGCAATACAAATATTAAAACAAGATCAGTGGTGGATGGAATCTAACAGATCATCGCCCCTTGATTATGTGGCAGACCGGAACGATACAAACCAAAAGTCCAACTGTATTCTGCTGTACCAACTCCCTGGAACCCAAGCGTACTACTTACCGAGAGAAATTCCAAGAACATTGCGATATTTGGTGATTTCAACTGATCACTCAAGTAAGTTTCTTATATAATTCTCGGAAAAGATTAAGGAGATTCAAGTCAACAATAGTGAAATTATGATATCCTTCAACGTTGCAGCCCTACTAGTCTCGGTTGAACCAAAATTAGCAGAGGACACCTTAACCCTGCTCCTCAACAGTGACGTAAAACTTTCAAAGTACACGGAGCTTCAAAGCTTACTAGAACTCACTGATTTATGCTTAATAACGTACTTTCAGGTCTACAATAAAATCTACGAGCAAGCAAAAAGTAAACCAATGGGACTACACAGAACATATTATCAACTACAGTAGCAAAGATCCACAAAACCAACTGAGCACAAACTTCGTTCAGAGGATCAAAAGCACACTACAACACAGAATAGAATGGAAATAAATATTTAGTGACTATTTTTGTAAGAGCGGTTATCTAAGCAAGTTCGCTGAAAAACATCAAACAAACTCATTACCAAAGCCGAAATCAAACGCAGAAACCAACAAACGGATCATCCTACCATATGTAAAAAACATCAGAGATTACAAGATTGTTCAGAATGTTTGGATTAGGTTTGATACATAAACAAAAACATCCATTCTATCAATTTTACGAAAACCAAAAGACGAAATGACAAGAAAATCCTAACATTATCTACAAAACAAATTTTTTTCAGTTGAAACACTACATACGAAAAAGTGGGTATCCTCTTCATCTTCGTCTTCATAAACACCAACGGGATGTCAAGGGTCATGAGGTATTTTTACTTATATCAATGAACGTGGGCACAAGTTCGACTGGGAAAATACTGAGATTTTCGATAGAAGAAATATAAAGAATATCATAGATTTCACAGAAGCTTGGGACTTAATTCAACCACCAAATAATGTGCACATTGAAATGGACCCAATTTACTAATCAATTACGACTAAACCATCCAGCTCAGAAATTGAAACACTATCACAATTGTCCACCTAAGCAACGAATCTTCTCTATCATCGCACAATTAACGTAGAGCAAACGTGTTCATTTTTTATATTGTTTCGAGAAAGGACGAACCTATAATATGTAGTTAAATATCGTTAAAGAAAACTTTATACAGAAGAGGATCACACTAAATTTCCAAAAGCGTAAGAAGAGAAAATCAGCTGGAAGGTAATACGAATCACAACGAAGATAAGAGATGAATATATCCACAATTTATTAATTTTAAGGTAGTTAATGTTTTCTAATATGTTAGGCCCTTGTCATTTACTAAAGGTATATCTATGTAAATTTATCGGCTTGGATTAAGGTATTAGTGTATCAGGTGTTGTGTGATTATGTTCAGCTTTACGAGGCACATCAGCAATCAGCAAGAATCTTTTAGGTGAGCTTGTATAGATACATCAGTAATGAACTTGAATCGAAATTACCGGACCATTCATCAGATGTTTGATACCTCAGACCCACCTATATGTCTTTAGTTTGGTGTGAGTGGCATACAGAAATCATTTACGTATGTACCATCCAACTCACCTCTAGGCCGTCCCCTTGGTTGTACAAGGTCAGGTGTACCATACTTTGGCGCAAGTAGTTCTACCTCACACTTGTAAGAACTGGTCTATCTGAATTGATAATTTCAGACAGGACTGCTTAGATTATCTTTATATCCGTACTACAACTCATAATCGGCGAAGACAAAATGTGCGTAATCCCAGGTTCTACTGAACAAAATCTGAGCAGTGGATGTATTTTAAAGTGTCAATTTTTGTAGCTCAGGCACATTTTGCTGATTATTACTTGTGAATATGAGTCAATGAGGGACAGAAGGTAGGTAGCCACTCTATAATATGGCACCATGAGCATAGGATGACTGTATTATACCAATGCTTGGTATTTTATCAAGATTCTATGGATCGGGCGATGAAGATGATGGAACTTGGAAGCTTGACAAGCTGTTGAAGACTAGCTTAGAAGTAAAGGCTGATGATCCTCTTGTCTTATTTTATCCTCTAAATAGATTATGAAATATATTTTTGGGTAGGGACTTTATCTCAGTATGAAGAAGGGAATTAACATTCTTCGTAAAATGAGAATTTCTGACAAGTTTGATTCAAGCAAAAAGATATAATTAGTTTAAAAATCAAAATACTGTGTATCAGATATCCATGTCCAATTATATATATGTACTTACGCCTGTTACCCCTTGTGTACGAGCATAGGCCGCCCACAATCATTCTCCATCCAACTCGATCCCGAGCAATCCTTTCCAGTTGCTATTTATTCTTCTTCATATCTGTTTCCGATTCCCGACGCACTGTTCTTTGGCCATCCTCTTTTCCGTTCCCCTCCATAATTCCAAGTTAGCGCTTGCCTGGTGATGCAGCTTGGTGATTTCCTCAATGTACATCCTATACATCTTTGGCGTATTTTCCTAATTTCCTCTTCAGCTGGAAGTTGGTTTGTTCTCTTCCACAGTAGGCTGTTGCTGATGGTATCCAGCCAACAGACACTGAGTATCTTGCGTCGACAATTGTTTATAAATACTTTTACATTTTTGATTATGGTTGTGGTAGTTCTCTAAGTTCCAGATCAGTACAGCAGAACTGTCTGGACATTGATATTGAAGATTCCCAGTTTGATGCTGCCTGACAGTTGTTTTGAGTTCCAAATGTTCTTCAACTGCAGGAATGCAACCCTTGCTTTGTCAATTCTCACCTTTCCGTCTGCATCAGATCCTCCACATTCATCGACAATGCTGCCCAGATACGTGAACGTTTCCACTTCTTCCGGAGTTTCTCCACCAAGTGGGATTGGGTTGGTATTCTCTGTGTTGTATTTGAGGATCTTGCTTTCTCCCTTGTGTATATTGAGCCCTCCTGATAAACAGGCTTCTGCCACACTGGTTGTCATGACCTGCATTTGTTCGTGTGAATGGGAGAGAAAAGCAAAGTCATCTGCGAAGTCTGAACCGTCTAGTTGCATCCAAGCTGTCCATTGTATTCCTGTTGTTGAGATTTATCTTGAATTCGTTGAGTTCGTTGTATTTAACCTATGTAATGCTGTTCCCCCAGTTGTCCAGTATTTCTTTAACCTCAGTTTCATGTTGGCCGCCACCAGGTGGTGATCCGAAGCTATGTCAGCTCCTCTCCTGGTTCTCATATCTTCCACTGTCCTTGGGAATTTTTTATGGATACAAATATTATCTATCTGGTTCTCCGCGGTGTGGTCCGGTGAGATCCATGTAGCTTTGTGTATACGTTTGTGTGGGAATATTGTGCCGCCTATAACCAATTTGTTGAATGCACATAGATTTGCAAATCTTCCCCCATTCTCGTTTCTCTCTCCCAGTCCATGTCGTCCCATGACATTTTCATATCCGGTGTTGTCTATCCCGACTTTGGTGTTTCGACCTCTCATCATAATGGTGAGGCCCTTTCTTGGGCACTTCTCTATGATTGATTGCAGCCTCATAGAATTGATCTTTATTGTCGTCATTGCTATCATTGTTGGGTGCATAACATTCATTGTGATATCCTCCTTCTTTGTTTCGAATGATGCTTTTGTGATTGTGGATCCATGAGATTCCCACCCAATAAGTGCATTTCCTGCATCTTTGAACAGCATCACAGCAACTCCTTGAGTGTGCATAGCATTTTTCTCTTCGTGACCAGAGTACAGCAGCATCTCTGCCGTATCTAACCTTTGATGTCCAGCTTCAGTCCGAAAGGTTTCACGTATTCCAAGCACCGCCAAGCTGTATCTCCTCATTTCTGTTGCTATTTGACTGGTCTTCCCGGTCTCTCACATTGTCCGGACGTTCCGTGTACCTTTAAAAATTGCTGCTCTGGTTGTTAGAGTGGGCATCGGCCTCGTGAGTTTCGAATAATCTCGGCTTTCATTGAGAGACGTTATAATTCTTCCTTCAACTCCCAGGGCAGAGTTTAAATGGTTTGATTTGTTTAATCTGGTTAACGTCGTTTTAGCAAAGTTGTTTTCTACGAGATGGAGTTGCCGACCCCACGCCGAAACCTCCTACTTTACCCGAGCTTGGGACCGGCAGTATATATATATATATATATATATATATATATATATATATAAACTAATAGTATAAACTTGACTTACTTGACAATTCGAGATTAAAACTCTTATACTGGTTCCAATTTTCTAAAAATTGTCTATTTGGTTCAGATATCGCCTTATTATCCAGCATTTCTATACGAAAACAATATGAAATTAGGGAACAAAACATGATTTTGTTTGAGTAGAATAACCAAAGTAAAACGTATCCAAGATATATTTCTTACATGATATTGTAAATTTATTTATGTTAAAGCCTATAACAGGGGTTTGGTCGTACAAGTCGCCTCTTCACTATCTAACCATATACTTCCTTTTACTTATTTTAATGACTCTGGTTTTTATCACTTTATTAATAAGTGGGACAACTTAAACGGACCGTTTTGTCCTACCTCTATTGAATAAAAGGAATTCTCAAACATATATATACGGACGAGACAGTGCAAATATATCGACAAATGGATCTAGTTTTACTTTAACAAATTATAAACATCGGTTTCAGCTATTGATGAAATCGTAGAACATTAATTTGGTCTTCGTATGCACACGGAAATAATGACTTCTAGGTTTGCAGGTATCTGACGTGAACAGAGTATCTAGAAGCTAGGACAAACTACGGAAGCTCTTTTTGGGGACGCTATTCCATTTAATCCAAAGCTCGTAAAACACTAACATTTATTTTGTTACTATTATTTTCTACAAATCACAAGCTTTCGTTTGATTTATGATTCATTGTTATAACCCTTCTTGTTCCAAAGCTATTGTAATTTAAACGAAACCTTAAGTACTATATTTTTCTACCCAATTGCCTAGTTTTGGACATAATTGTATTTTCTAGTTGTTGTGCCTTGTGATTTTGTTAGTCATTTATTTATTCGCGTATCTTTTTACACTAATCTAAGTCGGAACCAGTTCTGAGTGTGAATCGGAATTGGGAATAAGTCGAGTAGTGTTCCACTTAATTTGTCCTCTCACTCATGGGCGCTTGTCAGCCAATCAGGTGATAGAATAGTTTTTGTCTCTCTACCCAAGGCAGTTAGTCTCACTTCGACCTCACGCGTTTCTAGCCTCAAGGTTGAACCAGTCAGCCTACAATGTCAAAGCCTTAATCTAGATGTAAACAAGTTATCTCCGGCATACTATTAGGTAGACATATCAAGGACGTAATAGTATCAATGGCAAGGCTAAACTTTTTTGAATAAGCTGAGTAACGGGTAGGAAGTTAATAATTAATGTTTTCTTGTTATATCCCAATGAGTAGAAAACTGTATTTCTGACGTTTCGTGACTTAATCTAATCCACTTCTTCAGCGTAAGAAGAATTTAGTTCTCATTAGTTAATCGAGCAATAATGATACCTCATGGAGGCCGGATGAAGCTACTGCCTCTTCCAAAACCGGGTAATGAAAGAGGGTTAGGAGTAGGGGTTTGCAACTCCACTTAGTATGAATGAACTTCATTACAACTAGCTAACTAAAAAATGACTTATGATGCTTCACGGTGAAATCTGAGATGCTTTAATGACCTTTTAATAACCAGAGCAACAACTATCATATAAAAATGAAACATCTGGACAATGTAGGAGACCAGGAAGGTCATTCAAATAGCTGTAGAAAAGAGGACATACAACCTGGCCCAGTTTGGAATAAGTCAAATCCATTGAACACCATCTGAGAAAAGACTATATTCATAAGATGCAGTTATCTTTTAGTCATGAAAGAGAACATCCTTCATATACACAAAAGATTGCACTGATGCCCTTCAAAGGAGAAAACAAGCAAATTTAGGATGCGAAATACACGGCTCCAGGATCATTAAGGCATTCATAAAAACAAAAGAGGAAAGGGTCACAGTAAATGTTATTCAATGCTATGTACACATCAATGATGACAGTGAAGATGATAGAAACCAGTTTTACGAGGGCTGTAGTCCATCTCAGAGGAACTTTGTAGTGTCGTTTATTATGTTAAGCCCACATAGCTTATTCTAGCTTCTGGACAGGCCGATTTATTCATTCTTCTTGGGCCACGTTTTGACCTTGTTAATTATTCGCTTATCAAGCCTGGCTGCTTTTATATAAGCATTTGTGTGCACACTTCTTATCCTACTCGTCACATATATGTAGCCTATTTTCGTGTGGCCAGAATTATTGATTAACTCTTGATTAAATGGAGTTGGCTTACACGCCTTCTCCGCCGCCAGTCATTTCCCTTAGCTCTTTTCTATTCGCTTCGTTCCTCTGATTGTCTGTCCAGATGAATGATTGTACAAAATATATGTATTCAAAATCCATTCTCAAATTTGACTCATTTAACTCCATTAAACACTAATGCAATTTAAGTCGATGATTATATATGAGGATAGGTGACATATATTTCAATAGCAATCATTCATAAGATCTAATTGGAGTCAGATCTCGAGCCACTAAAGTGGTGAGCCCGCCACCGACGAACCTAACGCAGCAAGCTACATCGATGAAAAAACTTCTGCACTCTACACTTTCGACGAACAAAGTCAGCGAATGCAGTTCGATCTTCAATGGGACATACTCAGCAAACCCTGTGCAGCTCGACATGGACATGCTCAAATCGTATTATCTTATTGATACTTTGTCCTCATGTCAACTTTGCTGATTGGTCCATCCAGCAGATTGTTCCATTATGATTCAAATAATTATCACAGTCTCATTATCACATTAGTGGCATATTATCACCTATCGTAGAATTATTATTTTTGTTCGTGCTGACATTAAATTATGACATTTACGCAATCATATCACTCACCGAACAAATTATAAGTTTATGAACACCACTTTATGACATTTAAAGCTCACTGGACTATTTTTATTATTCAATAACGTGAAATTTTGCTGCTTTAAAGTGAGTTCGTCCCATTTTTTATCATGTCATATTTGGCCTATTATTACACTCATTCATTTTTTATGTTATCATACCACACATTTTTCATTTCGATATTGCCTCCTATTATGTCTGTGAATACCTCTAACTCTACTAGCTGATTAGTAACGATTATGTTCATCTTATCTATTCGTTCACATGTATAACTGCATGTTGTATTATTCATTACCCACAAATATTACAAGATTATTGCAATTAATATTTTATTCCCATCGCACTGTATACCAGAACATCGAGCTTAGAGCTAATTTCTCAAAGATACACTATTGTTCGTCACAACCAAGTCAGTTTCTCTCGCCGACATCGATAATCATATGCACTGATATTGGTATCATGCCTTAGTACCGTTTTGTTACAAACGAGAGCGAGTACATCTCCCACAAACCACTCGACGACCGAACAGAAATACGACTCTACATATCTCGCCTCTGCAGTCACCATTCTGTTCCTCTGGTCATTCTACTAATAAATAATAAGTCAGTCAGCAACAACGAAGAACTTCGTACGTACTTACATCAGTTCGAGTTGCCACACCACATTAGAACAGAGATGCACTTGTCGACTCAAATTCCGTAGTGCTAGATGTAGTAAAATTATAAGCTGTAATCAGAAAAATTAGGGTTTGAAGATATTATTCAAGGAGTATAATCTAGTGAAGTAAAATTGGAAAGAGAAAAAAGAAAGGGACATGAAGAATTCAGAAGATTAGAATTTGGGAGAACACAAAGAGTTGATGCACTTGCTCCATTGCAAACGATTTTGAGCCTTGGCATTCAGGGTCTCTAACCATCGGTTGCTATCATCTCGCGCTCCCCAACCAGGTAGTCTACACCTACCAACATGACTCAGTCCACTTGTCAGTGACTTCATGGACTTGTGCCATGTTTTGGTCTGGCCGCCCCTAGCTTTCTTCCAACCTACTCCTATACTATTGAACATTGCACGTCGGGGCAGTCGGTGGTTGGGCATACGTAACACATGTCACAGCCATTTCAACTGATGAAGTTTCACTATTTCATCAATTGATTTGCTATCCCTACCTAGTACCCGTTTCCTAACAAATGCGTTACTTACTCGATGGTCCCAGGATATACGAGCAATATTTCGAAGACACCTATGATCAAATACTAGTAACCTATGGATATTCTCTACTCTTACCGGCCATGTTTCACTGCCATAAAGTAGGACGGGACGAATTGCTGCGCAGTAAACCTGTCCTTTGGTTGATAGACGGATATCGCGTCTACACCATAAATGACGCAAGTTAGCGAAATCCAGTCGAGCCTTCTGTATCCGTGCTGAGACTTTTTCAAATACCAGACTACAAGGGCTGATGAGCAACATTTGGCATTTCGAGAGGGAGAATCGCATCCCGAACATGCTTGCATTGTTGCTTAGAGTAGTCAGAGGACTCTGCATTTTATCAGCGTCTTCATCAAATAAAACTATGTCATCGGTATATTCTAGGTCAAAAAGTGAATCTCCCGGTAGAAGTTCAACCCCTGGAAATTTAGATGAGGAAAGTGTCATCTCTAAAAGCACATCAACGACAAAGTTAAACAAGAATGGAGAGAGTGGACAGCCCTGACGAATACCACTTGAAGTAATCAATTCTGATGACAGTTCGCCATAAGCTTTCACTCTACCAGTTGTGTTCGAGTAGAGAGCCTTTATAAGGTTAATGTACTTCTTTGGTACTCCTATCAGTGACAAACACTGCCATAGAACCTTACGATCAACAGAATCGAATGCCGCCTCAATGTCGAGAAATACTACCATTGTGGGGCGTCTGAATGTGTGTCTATGTTCTAGGATCTGACGTAGTGTGAATATCTGATCTACACAACCACGTACAGGTCGAAAACCAGCCTGATTTTCTCTAGTCTGCTCTTCACGAGCCCTGGTTAGGCGTCGAAGTATTATTGAAGCTAATATAAATGAAAGACGCTGCTCGGATAATGTATGCGCGTTTCGGAGACGCAGCACACATCGATGGCGCGAGATTCTTAAGTCCTAGCTAAGGAAGCCTGTTGTCCTATTTGGCACAGTGTTCGGACGTTAAAAACTCCTACGTGTAGCTTAAAGCGTGGTTTCAGGAGACCAGGAATAACGTTCCGCGTATTCAAATCGTTTGCACCCGAAATGCGAGGTGATAAAGGAACGGGAGAAGCATTAGTCGTAGAGATGAGAGAGTTGTTAGGTGTAGGAAGGATTCGGT